TCAAGAAAAAGCATTAAAGCATAACATTACTGACTTGAAAACTTTAAAACAGGTCTTTCATGTCTGTTAAAAGAATGGTAACAACTTCTTTTGTCATAAAAAGTGCTGTTATGGAATCTAAATATCTGTATAGTAATAAAGGAAGATCTATACTAAGGGAAATTAGTAAATTGAGCAAACTAGTGTTTTTGTATGTTTATATTTATATATCTTTGGTTAAGTATGTCTTAACCAAGCCTTTAATTTGGACTTCCATAACATTATCAAAATGTACATGTGTAGACATATATGCTATGACTTTTAACTCATAAAATTCATCAAATATTTCCATGGCACTCTTTAGGTGTTATCATAGAATTGCCAGAGCAATACCCAACATTATACAAAGCCCCCTTCTTTGGTCCCACAAGAAATTCAGTATGCACAGACCCAATTTTCCCTCAGAGACTGAATTATGCGATTTATCACAGTAAATCCTGGTTATACCTGGCTTCTACTGGTGGGTCACATAGGCTGAATTCACAACAGCATCTTATAGACCCGCAGATTAAAAATGGCGACCCACTTAAAAGCTTGCCACATAAATCCCATAATTGACGATGAATAGATTCTCCGCGGGGATTATGCAACAAGCTCTCAAGTGGGTCAGCCACATTTGATCCCCGGATATGTTAGTCTGCTGTTGTCAATATTTCACCCACTTACTAATGTATACCACAGAATGGAGTGAGATGACTAGTACTCACATATTTTGGTGTGTTTGCTTTGTGAAACCCACATTTACACTGGATTATAAAGAATTCTTGAAAACTACATTTTAAATGCATGTAAACATATGCATTTCCTTTTGTAAAAATGTAACATGAAATACATATATTATGGCAATGCAATACATAAAAGTGCAATAAAAATGGCATTTTATTGACCAATAAACATAGAAACTACAATACTAATGGGCTTAAAAAATACAAACTACAAAACATACTTCCAATCTACTGTCATTTTAGCAGAACAAATATCATATTCCTCCTTAAAAAATTGCCATAATGATGATAAAATATTTATAAATTAAACATACTATTATTCTAATGATTGTACATGTCATGAAGAAGTTAATCTCATGAATTGTTCATAAAATAATTCTATAACTAAATAACTTACTTCTTGCATGTAAACAAAAGTTGATTGAAACACTTATTCAACATATATAAACTAATTTATTTACCTCCAAGTAATCTTAATCATTTAGGAAGAAGAAAAAATTTACTATGTGCTGCTGTTTATATATAACATTAAAATTTCCTGAGTTTGTAATTTAAAGGCTGCCATAACACCTATATCAATGGAATCAATCAATGTGCATGGGATTAGCTCTTTTTTTTTTCTTTTTTTTTAAACACCAAAAATAATCTGCTGAACAATGAATCAGGTATTTTATAGCTATCAAAAAACGACATAGTAATGTTTTCCTTAAGCTGGCAATTTTTTACTTGACAACCTCAGCACTAACAATCTCTGGCTGATGACAAATGGTTTCTGGTTCTGCGTGAATTTGGTTTAGGTACCTTAAAGCTTGTGAATACCCTAGGAATGTAACAGCACAAGTAGGAAACCCTCTAATGGCAGTTACAACTAGCCCCGTGAAAAAAATTCTATACCCTCCTTCTTGGTATGTCTTCCGTATACAATCAGTGGTGCTTTTATAAACCAGGCCATGCATGTCTGCCTGGATGCGACTTTTTATCACATCAAAAGGGATGATGACTGACCATGATATGACCCCTGCCCATCCACCAGCAAAAAGACTAGCAAAAATTCCATGCTTGTCAAACAACTGTGTTCTTTGCATACCATCGTACATTGCCTCATAGACAAGAAGATAAAGCCCATAAGCTGGAATGTCTCTCCATGCCATGCTGTACATACCACGATACATGCCCTTTATGCCACACTGTCTGTATATGCTGCTCATGCATTCCAAAGGTCCCTTGAAGTACCCAGAACGAGTCTTCTCTAAAATTAAAAAAAAGATCACAATTCTAAGCTCAATTTAGTATCATGATATATTTAACAGGCCATATAAATGAAATTACTGTTTGTTACTTTAAACAGCAGATTTGTGATTGTGATCACAGAATAACTGACTTAAAATGTAATTTCATGGTGCATTTGCATTATGAATCGTGAACCGCAAGTCCCCTCACCTTCCCATTTGGCATGTTCTGTATGTGCCACAAATTATTGTTAGCACATAAAGCTCAAGAAAAAGAACCCTTATGTAAACAGTGAGAGAGCTGGATAAAAGCTGGCTAAATCTTTCGCGGTTTATATTGTGGTGCTTGCAACAAACATTTTTTGATCACAACAGGAAATCAACGTGAAATCTTGAATCGGTGATCGCAATCACAAACCCCAGGATCCAAGTCACAAACAGCAATTATTGTTTCTCAGGACTGTTTAACCCTGGGAGAATTACAAAACAATATTCCACAAAACTGGATTAAAGATACTCATCATGGGAATCAAGGGATCTCAAGTTTAATCACATGCATAACTGGCATTAATATTAACTTCCACTCCATTCACTGTAAACAAGAAAACATATCTGATGCAGTTTTAATACATACAAGAAGTTGTGCAACTGGCTTTCAACTTCAAGTCTTGATTTGTTTTGTTCTTGTAATTAGGTAATCTTCTATGCAATTCTTTTATTGACCACAAAGAAATTTCATCTGACTGATGCAAAGAAGTTTATTAGTAAGATCAGATAGCTTAATATTGGTGTTTAGAAAATATCCAAGTGTAAACTGTGCCTCTGCAGGGACGACAAGTGGGGAGGCATGTGAGAGGAAGAGTGATATATAGCTCTACATAGATCCAAAATGGTAAAGATCATTTCTTCCTATCAATTAAATTAAGACATACAACTTTCATATAACTTTTATTTTGTAATATTTGTAAGATGTGATAATATGACTAATTTCAACCAAATTAAGTCCTTAAGAACATTTTCTTTGATAGAAGTGGGCACTACAATATTACACTTGCTTTAAATATTGTTCAAAGTTTGTTCAAGTATCATTTCTCCTTTCCCTTCATATAAATCAGTGATTGGCTATACACAGCTAGGATTATTGCATTGACAGGGAAAGCTCTAATGGCAGTCACCAAAGACCCGGTGTAAAAAATTCTCAGTCCACCCTCCACGTACATCTTAGATATACAGTTCAAAGTTCCAGAGTATATCTTGGTGTGTGCACTGTGGTCTGCCTGTAGACGGCTTTTTACAATATCTGCTGGCATTATAGCCAACCAGCTGATCACACCTGCCATTCCACCTGAGAGCAAGTGCGACAACACAGCACCACGCGCTATGATATCATAGGCATGCAAAACATCCTGCATTCCCTCAAAAGTTCCCATGTACAGAACCTGAGCAGGAATGTCCCGCATAAACATTATGCAGTTTCCACGATACAGACTTTGTATTCCTCCATGTTTATACAAGGCTCTCATGCATTCTATTGGACCTTTGAAGTACTGGTGCGACCCTGTGGATGTAACAAGCACATACATTAATTGACACAATGATAAAGACAATTTATCTAAACAACCACTTGGGACTTTAATGTTTTGATGAAAAAATCTTAACCTCAACAATAAGTGTGGGATACCCAGTCAAATGATTAAATTTTGCAATATAATTTCAAGGTATATGTAGGAGAACCAGTCAACTAGACAAAGAATAAATTTTCCCGAAAATTTCAGCAATCTTCACTTCAGCACACCCTATTTGAATATACATAGTGTACTGGTATTACTGGTATGTGTGCATGTGCATTCAAATGACTGAGAATAGAATTTAAAAAAAAATGCTAATACCCTCAAAAACAAAGTAAGCAATAAATCAAAAACACAGTATGTCAGTTAGGGAGCAAATGTGTACCTGATGAGCAAAGGCACCAACAAAGAATATTTGGATAAGGTAATTAGAATATATACATACAAATTCAATGTTAGTTTACAAGTGTTAGAATTATCCATGCAGTTAATAATTTTACTTACTAATTTTCTTTCCATATGCACATTAATCAGCCAAGTATGTGCTGATTGCAGTAACAGCCAAAGAAGTAAGATCCATGTCCTTGTTTCTTTTTTCCTTTTCAATCAATTTAGTATCACTAGATGTTTTATGCAATAAAGAGAGCCTGTAACATTCCTGCATAATAAAACCATCTACTTTCTCCTTCATTTACTCCCCCTAACCACCCAAAAAAGAAGTTTTTCTTTGCTTGCAATAATAACTGAAACAAGAAAATCAGGCAATAGCCATTTCCAATAGCCATTTCCATTTGCCCAGTGTGTTGGTATTATTTTTGAGATGAAACATTTCTTGTTTACTATTAACGACTACTGAAACAAAAAAGTTGGTCAGAGGGTCAATATGTCACTTAGAGCGTGCATTGATAATTAGGCATTGAAAATGAGTTGCATTATGTTTGATTAAAAAATGACTTGTAGTGTGAATATATATGTCTATCAGACCTAACATGTAAATAGAAATAATTTAGATACTCCAAGGTAATTTCAACTAACTGTAACTATAACATTCAGAAACATATGGCCCAAGAGACAAATTATTCAAATGCACTATACATATATCATACTTGTGATAAATTACTGAAATTAATATATCCTAAGATTACTATTTATAACAGGGGTGGATTGAGACTGTCTTCTGGGTCTTCCGGAAGATGTTGAGATTTTTAAGTTTACTCTGACAAATATCTCATTTTTTCTGTTGGAAGACAGCCAAAAATGGAGGATGAATCAACAAAGATAATTTGGAAGACTGTCAGAAAATATCTCTTTATTTGCCTGCATAATCAGTAATCACAAAAGAAAGAGACATCACTGAACTATGTAAATGGGAGTTAATTCTTCCTTTTAGCTGACAATATTAAACATTAATAATAAATAAATAAATAAATAAATAAATAAATAAATAAAGCTATACCATTGAATACCATTTTGAGATAAAGTTGGCTATGGAGCCACTGGCTACTTACCGTTACCGTGTGGTATCTGAGACTGCAGCACCACTTTTACTACATCTACGGGACAAGCAATAGCCAACTGGGCAGTACCCCCAATGCATCCAGCTATATAAATGTCTCTATAGGAAGGCTGAGTTGTGGTGTCTGGATGCAACCAACGGAGACTGTTTCCATACACACCGAAGAAGACTGAATTAATAGCCCCATATGAAACCAGTGGAAATGAAAGCCCACGGAAGAAGCCCCTTCCCTGAAAAAATGTTTTATTGTCTGTCTTTAAAGTAACGGTTAATGCTCCTTGTATAGCAAATAAACTGATATCTCAAACTTTTTGAATTACGTTCGTAGGTGGATCCAAAGGAAATTGATGGATTCAGTTCTGCCCCCCCCCCCCAAAAAAAAAAAAATCACCTATGACGCACACAAAAGAACTACAAAACCCCATCTTTTTTTTCCAAAAATACCATTTGTTGATAAAATAGATTAAAACATTTTTTGAAATAGGTGGCCATTCTTGTTGATGAAAGTCTAAGAATGAAAAGTATGCAGTCTGTGAAGTTAGCCACTGGTCCAACACCCATAGCCAGTACAATTCTGTTTGGACAAGTCAATTTTTCAGAATGTGTGAATTAAGTGGTTGTTATCATAGTTCAAGAAATTTCTATCGCATCTTACCAGACCATGATGATAGATGTTCTTGATTGCATCCCATGTACCTTTGTAATGATGGCCTGCCAGCTGGGTTTGCATCTGAACCTAATAACATACAAAAGAAGCCAATTTAAACAACACAGTCTTAATACAAATACTATAAATATTGCAAAATACTTCAAGGACTTCATTTGATCTTTTTTCTGTCAGACAAGAACAATTCAGATGCAGACAATTTACTGTACTCAAAATTCAAAGATATCTGTGTTGAGAAAAGATATTTTACTAGGCATAGTTGGAATTGCACCATATTGGTTCATTTTGTTTTACAAGTTTGTCCAAAAAAAATTGCTTCTTCTTCTCTTCACTTATAAAATAACAAATTCATTGACCTTTAATGAAGCATACAAAGGTGGAAGTTTCAGTGAAAATGAAAAGAAAAGCAATAAATCTATGTCGATATACCTAACAAAAAATTCACACTTTGGTATGCTTTTGACAAAAGGCAAGTAAGCATGCACGCATACACACACACACACACACACACACACTGCTTTCACAACATTTGATCTTTTAATGAAAAAAAAGGTCTCTCATCACTAATTAAAATAATATGATTAAAAATTATAGTTGCAAAGAAAAATCATATAAAGAATGATGAATAATAAAAAATAAAAGGATGTATAAAAATAAAAATTTAACCAATTTACTATGAGAAAATTTGAGTATACCTTAGTTGTGTCAAAGGGATGCCCTACAACAAGCCCTGCTATTCCTAAATAAAAACAAATAATAATGAACGCAAAGAAAGCAACTATTCTTCTAATACAATGAACTTCAACCGTACTAGGAAACCAAACCCTAAAACAGCAGTGTTTAGAAGCCCTAGGACTACAGAAAAAGCAACCAAATATATTTTCTAGATAAGAATTTACACCATTTTACCTCATTTTACTATTGGCATCTATACTAATACACATATTTTCCAAATTTAGAAAACAAACAGCTTCAAAATCTTTTGACAAGCAAGTTATATTTAAAAAAAGTCTTAAATACTAATAATATCCTACACTCAACTGAAAAAATAGCATCTAAAATAAAACTATTTGGTGAAGTTACATCATCTACCCAAATTGATTGTATAATCAGGTATTTTACCGCCTAAACATCCTGCTATGTAATCGTTCACACCACCAGTGGCATCCATCCCAAGTATTGCTCTCTGTTGAATCCAATATTACCTAGGGCATTTTCTGGAAAACAAAACAGTCATTTTGAAATACTTCATACATCACCAAAATGCAACCCATAAAAAACTGGATGGTATATCTGAAAGAAAGCAATGAGAGAATCTAACAACCTTAAAAGTCAAATCAGCACCTTGTACTTGACCTATGCAGCAACCAACTGCTTGGTAGATATGTTATTACAACTCGTTTTAACTTAAAATCTGGATTAAAATAACAAAATCATGCTCACAAGTTTGGTATTTCCAAAGCCATTTGACTTCCATTATAAAGAATGTTTGTGCAGCAGAACATAGAGCACATGTTCACTGAAACATTGTGGGAACATCGAGTACAGGGTATGGTATCTTATCTGAAGAAGGACTTCTTATGACTGATGTACCCCTGCCTGCTACTCTACTCTCCCCTAATATATACTCTTGTTTTAAATACAATATTGCAAGGTCTACTGGTATAAAATGCATACTGATACCTACTTGATATATATTTTTTTCATAATTTAAAGGGATAATAACTCTTCGTATGAGATCTATATTTCACAATAAAAACCTTGTGAATAACTCATAGAAATATAATTTATTCTGTTTTACCACAAAAACAGCAGTTATAGCTTTTATTCTGATATCTGAACTTGTCTTTAGACCACGTGACCTCCATTGATGGCTATACTCTGTTAAAATCTCTTAAGAGATTTTAACAAAAAACCAAACTTTTTAGAAAAAAACCAGGGACTAACTTTGAATGTAAAAATGGATTCATTAACCATTGGTAAGTATGGGAAAATTGTTGTTTACTCCAGGAAAATTCATTTTTTGGCCGAAACAAAGAGTTATTATTGCTTTAAGCAAGTTACATTTATTTATTTGTCACATTTACTTATTATCTATTTTGCCAAAATAAATTACATTTCAGAGGCCCATTCCCATAGACATCATTGGTCTATGTGAAGTAATCCAACACCGCAGGGACTCTTGCTGAATGCAATCAGATTAACATGCCTCCTCCTGACATTAAGTAGAATACAGAAAAGCTGGTGATTACACAAGTATGTTGGATACATAAGGAGGTGTGTCATTCAGATAAGCTGATTGCACTCTGGGCAGTCCCTGGATTGATTTACATAGATTGTTGGTGTGAATTAAAATGGGGTCATAGCTGGTTATCCCTTCAGCATCTTCACAAGTATAGTAGACAGGCACATTATAAACTGTTCCCTTTTCTGTTCATAATTCGATGCATACTTGCAGACGATAATCAGTACCAACTGCCCCAGATCAAGTTTGTATTGACCAGATACAAAATTGGGTATGGGGCAAATAAAGACTGGGTTCCCATGCCTAGATCGATCTAACAGGATCAACCCATCTCCATGAGGTTTCTCGCTAAATTGCTTTTAGCTTAAATAGCTTAGATGTCTGGCACGCCTACTGAAGCCGCTAAATGATAGATAATTACCCTCTAACAGCTTCAGTGGGCATGCGAGACATCTAAGCTGCTTAACCTGATAGCAATTTAGTGAGAATCCCCTTGGAAATAGATCGATCCAAAGTTAGTACGATAGGCTCTGGAAATGGTCTCAAAGGCTGCATTCCCAGAGATTTAGATCGATCCAGAAATTAAGATTTAGATCGCCCTATCTCCCTGGGGTTCACGCTTAATTGCAGTCAGCCGATTGCAGTCTGATCCATCTCTGTGGGAGATTCTCCAAAAGCATTTACATGTATACTCCTATGGCATGCATTGCCTCATGCAGAGGGTTCGTAAAAGTTTATGACTGTGTAAAATGTCAAACATTGTACCTGGATTGATCCAGCTTTGCAGGGGATTTTCACATGATTGCTCTAAGGGAGAATCTCCCACAGAGATGGATCAGACTGCAATCGGCTTAGGGAGAAATAAAATCTATGTAACAAATAATAACGTCAATAATAATAATAATAATAAAGTAATAAATTAAAATATGTGTAAAACAGAAATGATCCTGAAATAAAGACCAAGCACCTATTATTAGACTTCAGAATGAAAATGTTGCATATCCAGTCTAGACTTCACGTTTGCCTATACATATACCGGTAGATTCTATGTCACAACTTCACAAGTGACTTAATTATTATTCCAGTATATACCGGTGTAACGTGACAGAGTCCCCATGACAGAAAGTCCGCTTCCCATTCATTTGTGCAGGTAAGTCTCGACCTAAATTTTGACCCACTTACAGTAGGTCAGGCTAACCCTAACCATTATAACTAAATGGAGGGCGAACTTTCTGTTACAGGGACCCTCCGTTTCGTTACACCGGTATGTTTGAGTCGTGCGTCTCTTATCTTCATCAAAACAAACAGACAAATCAGTAGGCAAAAAATAGTGACAATCATGCTTAAATGCAGTGTGTATATGTACCATTTACGGATGCTCTACAATGTACTTAACAACCTTACCCAGGTCAGTTTGCCGGTGGATAGACTGACTGACCTCCTGGTTGCTGTGGCTCGCTGACTTTCGTGTGTATTCGCTTGTCTCCGCCTCCGAAACCGGCAAGCGTGGAACACCGAAATTATGAAACACGAAAATCGTTTGACTCGTGAAACGATTATGAACAAATCCTTCAAATATGGAATGATAACTGTTGAAAAGTTATAGCAAAGGGGGTATATTTTCGATAAGTTTTATGCTCACAAATCTTACTTTTAGCACGTCTTTAGTAGTCTTATCCCATAAAAGAAAGACAACACAAGTGGTTAATCCATGCGGACACACCTCCATATCAGAAATCTTAGCCAATAACTGCCCTGAAAACAAAGACATCTGACCTTGGCCTGCAGCAGCCTGAACAGCTAGCGTCATTGCCATCCAGTTTGGAGTACAAGGTCGTAGATAAAAATATGAGATGTGACTCAATATCTTGAGATAAACAACTACTGATCTCTAGTGCATCTGAAAGTGAAAGATCGAGAGAAGCGAATAAGGGTAATGTGGTAGAGCATTTAGCAGAAAACAAGGAATTATGGCGCTGGATTTTGTGGCGGGCTGCCTTGGAGGTACATATATTCTCTACACTATTTTATGTTTTAATTTTAAAAGAAGATAATGTAGTATATACGCAGCACGGTTTATAACAGTTAAGAGCCCCCCACCCTTTTTTGCATACTAAAAAAAAACGTGATTGTATCTTACTGAAAAAATATTGAGATAATGTTGATTAAAATATTGTTTTTGTTTTGGGAGAAATTGTGTGGAATTACTTTGTTCTTGCCAAAAAAATTGCCATGCAAACACAAACAACTGATTTAGAAGCATCACTTCAGTTCTATCCTAATGTTTTAATGGGCTGTTTTTCCTTTTTTTTTTTTTTTTTTTTTTACAATGACAATCGGTATTGCATCAGCTATCAATGTATGATTTGTTATTTACCAAACCTCCCAAATGTGAAAATGCAGATAGGATGTTCAGATAGCTTTAATGTTAGAGTTCTTTGCATTGATTTATGTGAAAGATGTGGGGTCAGTGTCTCCTGTTCTGTTTACTGCATGGAAGTCAATTTTTAAAACTTTAAAATTTTGATTAGGACAAACCAAATTAATAATCTGATCAGTAAGTGCTGCTGACCCTAATTTTTTTTTTTTTAATTTAAATAAATCGGAAAATCTTGACCCCAGGAAGAATCTTGATGCTGCTGTTTTGAGTCCATTTTTATGCTCAAAAATAGCCCAAATTTTGGATTCAAAATCCCCTCCCCTCCCCCCCCCCCAAAAAAAAAAAAATCATGACCGAGTCTGAATTTTAGCTGCTGCAACCATATAACACTACACAAGTGACTCTATAATATACCAGCATATACCAAAAACAAAAGTGATTTTGTCTACCAATATAATAGAACAGCCACTAGTTGTATGAGTAATCAGTGTTAGTCGGAATGCAAATACCACTTACGATAAACTATGAACCGGATGCATGCACTTGTGTTTATTAAGCTAGCCGCATAAACTGAGTTCTTTAATATTTATTTGCAGATGTCATGTATTTCCATCTTGTATATGTAACAAAAAATTATATTTTTGTAACTGTGAATACCCCTGGTTCTTTGTGGTCATTGCATGTTTATTGTTACAGGGTGTGCTGGGGTTCTGGTTGGCCATCCATTTGATACTGTGAAGGTAAATTATATTAGTGTTCTGAATAACAAACTGTTGTGCAATTTGATGGACTCAAAAAGATTCAAAACAAAGCTCAATAGCAAAAGAATTACAGTGGACTTGGTGTGAGATAATTTTGTACTGTATTATGAAACTGAGCCTGGACTATAATTTAAATACTCTAGAATGTGGTGAGAAGCCATTAGTGACAGAAGTATTAATATTATTCCTTTGTGGATTATGAGAGACTAGCAAATGTGAATATATAATGCATTTACATCAGAATAATGCCCATGTTATGTTTGGAAAACACTGTCATTGTGTCAGGGTTTTTTAGCTGGACCATGAAATGGTCGTGTTTCCTTTGATCTTGACATAATCACCAGAATGATAATTAAGAATTTGCATGCTAATCAGTGTCTGTCTCTCTGTATGTCGGCCTACTTGTTTCATTTTTGAAGTCAAGTATGTTTTGGGTTTGAAGTTTCTCTGTGACCCCATTCCCATATCTAGATCGATCTAGCAGGATTAACTCATCTCAAAGGGGTTTCTCCCTAAATAATAAGCACCATAAGCGGCTATGATGTCCGGCATGCCTACTGAAGCTTTAAGGGAGCAATTAACTATCATTATGCAGCTTCAGTAGGAATGCCAGACACCTAAAATGCTTAATCTGAATGCAATTTTGCGACAATCCCCTTGGAGATCTTGGTGGTATCATATTGCGTAATAACAAGTGAACATGTTACTGAGCAATGTCACGGGTTCACAACTTCACACAGGCTTGTAAAGATCTTCAATACTTGATAACTGACAAAAAACATCCTGTCTGGTCTAGATAAGAGTTGTTTTATTTATTTCAGGTACGGCTACAAACACAAGATCCAGCAAAACGTCTTTATAAAGGGACTTTTGAATGCTTCAGGACCATTGTAGCAAAAGAATCTGTGAGTTTATAAACATAAATGTTGATATTGATAATAACCCTAGACCTTATAAATGGTTTAAGAATTTATTAACACTACCCATTTTTACTACAAACACCCATATTAACCACCAAACCCACAAACGAACCAGCACACCTTACAATTATTTAGCACCAACAAATGGATAGCTAGCACTAACATTTATCCGCTCTAGTAGTGCTGGTTAATTTGTGGGTTAGGTGGTTAATACGGGTGTAAGTGCTCAAAGATCTGCAGGTAGTGCTAGTAAACGCCTAATCCATTTATAAGGCCTGAACCTATGAGTTTTTAAGCCTACAGTAGCATACACATTAGCTTTAAATAAGATCTTTACTGGGATTTGATGTATCCTCTGATATCACAGGGGTCTCTAGTATAGTGTACAAAATTGAAGAAGAGACCCTGTGGGAATTGAGATGATCATCTTGTCTACTCTTAGGTCATATTCAAAACAGATGATCCACAGACTAACCGATCTGCTGACTGAATATGACAGACCCCACGTAATTTCCTAATGGTCTCCAAGCCTCCACATGGATTAAATCTTGGCTTCGGGTTTTAATTGCAAGGCCCCTGTGGGGATGGCACATCTGGTTGTAGCAACGAGTGTGCACTATTTTGCAAGAAAAAATTTATTTCTGCTAATTTGTAGCTATATTGCAAGCAAATTTGCTGCAATTTCACTTCGAATTTGCAGCAGGCCTGATGTTTTGCTAAGGGTAAAAGGTAACTTCCAACCCCTGTGGTCAGAGGGTTGATTCAATGAGGGCCGTGCAATCAAATATTTAGGTCACAATGTGACATTTGCTCCAGCCCTGCCATACCTTTATTTACTGATGAGGTCAGGCCATCAGTTTTGGTAAAATTCATGCATTTATTAGACCAAATAGACAGTAAACCTGCAATATTTTTCAACTCCCTTTTTTGCATGTCCAAATAGTTTTCACTTTTTAAAAATCATGTTCATTAATAATCATGAATATACTTAAAAGTATATTCATGATTTTTAATGAACACAGATTTATTAAGTTGGACTTTATATCTTACTCTTACTAAATACATATTTGTGAAAGAAATTGCTTTAATCACTGTAATCATGTTCCAGTACTATTGAATTAAAATTAATGTTTTATGTGATGTGTAACGAACAAATATTTGGGTCGACAATATTTTGACAGGATCAACAGCATATAGATTTAAGCTGATCCAAATTTCCATCAATACCTTCAGAGTTTTCACCATGACTTTCTCTATGATATCACGAAATACTAATAACTCTTTCAGTCAGCATTTGAGATATTGGTATGTAAATGCATTTTTCTTTTTTTTGGAAATTACTAGTATACAATTTGTGAACCATGGTATGTTTTTAGGCACTTGGATTATACAAGGGGATGGCTTCTCCACTTTACGGATTAGCACTTATCAATGCCATAGTCTTTGGAGTCCAAGGAAATGTTCAGAGAAGAATGGCAAATCCAGATACACTAAAGAGCCACTTCTTGGCAGGTGCTACAGCTGGTCTTGTACAGTCTGTAGTGTGTAGTCCCATGGAACTGGCCAAAACAAGGATGCAGATTCAAGGGCAGGGTGAATCAAGAACACAGTTCAAAAGCACAAAACATTTGTATACAGGCCCAATTGATTGCCTGAGGAAGATCTACAAAGCACATGGGATTCCTGGGGTGTTTAAAGGTTTTACTCTCACCGTTGTGAGAGAAACACCCAGTTTTGGAATTTATTTTGCTACTTATGAGTATTTGTGTAGAAAGATGGTAGAGCAACCTGATGATGATGTGAGTATGTTAGGCTTGTTAATGGCGGGGGGCTTCAGTGGTATGGCTTCGTGGATTGCTACTTACCCTGTTGATGTTATCAAGTCTCGGATACAAGCTGATGGGGGTAGTGGTCAAAATCAGTATAAAAATGCTTATGACTGTTTCCAAAAATCTATTAAAGCTGAAGGGCATGGGTGCTTATGGACTGGGCTAAACTCTACTCTACTAAGGGCCTTTCCAGTAAATGCTGCAACTTTTACTGTGGTAGCACTTTTCCTGAGGTCTGTGCGTCCAAGTGAGGATGAGACAATGGAAACGATATCGGGTCATCACCACACAAAACTGGGCAGTGAAATCCACACTGTGGACAGAATAGCTGGGGCAACGGCTACTGAAATATAGTGTGTAAAAATTGAAAAGATAGGTAACTAGTGAATTGTCACTTGACAAACACTTGATAAACATTGATGTAATGGCATAAGTTTACTTTTTGCAGCAAAACTGTGACTTCAACTCATAGAGCCAAAGATGAGTTTTTTTTTCAGAATTGTCGATTTAACAGATCAATAGATTAACATGCTGCCTCTTGTTTCCAACATACTGATATAATCTCCAGCTTTTCTGTTAATCAGTAAAACTGATTGCATTTAGCCACAGTCCTCGCAGACTTGTATCAATCTGTGTACGTATATAGTTTCTATGGGAATGAGCCCCTAGTGCATCTTAATAGCTTGCATCATTCATTCACGAGGTGGCATAACATGATTTATGGAATTTTAACCAATATACAGATACTCAGATGCACTGATGTGTTTAGAGTGCCATTTTAGCGTAGTTCTTCACCTGTTATTGTGAAAACCACTTATCTCTTTATTATTTTGTGAGCCATGAATTGCATTTATGGTATAGGTATACTTGGAGGTTGAAGTGGATGGAATGGGGTTCCACCAATACCATGGCAGGAGTGAATTTAATCTGCCTACCTTTCATGTTTTGGCAAACCTACTTGGCGTTGTGTACACATGGTGATTCCACTATCAAAAATACAAGGCCTTATTGGCCTTGTTAACCATTTTATTCATTTTCTCTGGTCTAAACAGGTCTTACCAAATTCCAAAACAAAGAAATGGACAATTCCTCCAGTGTATAACCCCTCCCGCCCCTCAAAAAAAAAAAAAAAAAAAAAAAAAGTCAAAAGCCAGTCTTGACGGTCAGTAGCCGAGATGACTGATTTTATTTCACTTCACTGGAAGGAGGCTTGTTTATTTGATATCATATTAGCTGGGGGTAAATGGATCATTAAGTTTGTAGCACGTCATGCAATGGAGCTATGATGTTCAAAGCCTATGTGAAAGTGACTGAAACTGGTCGCTACTGTGATTTAAGCAGTCTCTGTTGGGAACTGGCCACTACTTATAAACTGAGACACTTGGTATTGTTACACTCATTGAATTTTACGTGTAAGTCACATTTTCAGTATCCTCACGGTAGTTTTCTTTACTCAAAGAACAAAGTTTATTTCAGCTTTGATACACTCTTATTTCTTTAAAAAACACAGTGCACTGTATATATACATTTAACAGTTAGTCTTTTCATTTAAGAATCTCAGTGTGCCTTAAAAGCTGGTTGTGATGCCTTGTGATACAGTTCCAGTTTTAGGGTGGTTCCATGTCCATTTTTGTAGCAAGTCATATATATGGCTAGTTGGAAGAAAACAGTTTTAGTTTGTTGTATCAGTATTCAAGTGAAATTAAGTCAACAACATAAGGCAGCTGAAGTTGTCATCAACAGCAAAACAATTTAGTTATACCTGTTGCCTTTTAGGACATTCTCAAATCAAAATTTCTTTATTCTTCTTCTTCTGCTTATTATTATTATTATTATTATTATTATTATTATTACCTTACATAAGCTCACAGAAGTTTTAATTTCCAGTTACAGTGAAGGTAAATTGTTTTGTTTATTGAATGTCCCTTCCATCCATAGATGCTACTGCCAAAGTCAACTTCTTATGTAATAAAATAGACTGCACTTAAAGAGGTTTATTTTTAATGTGTCTCCACTTCTCAATTTAACACTTTCAAATACATCGAAATATTACAGTCTTTATATAACAGTTGTATGCATTTACAGTCAGTTTGACTTTAGATGGGTAATCCTGGTATTTAACATTAGGAGTTGGCTTTCTTAGTTTTTGCTTAATTTTTGTCACATAATAAATAGAGACCCTAGTTTGGGGTTCAGTTGTTGAGGGAATGTGTGAATATATTATGCTTAAGTTGCTTTCTGTAATCATACCTTTATAAAACTTCGCACTTCTAAGATGCTGAATGGACTTTATTAAGGCTCCAGCTGTTATTTTACTATGCAGATACACTGATAATATGAAATTTTTGCTCTGTTATTAAACTTTTAGTAGGATAATGGTGAAGCACTATCACATGAACTTGAGTCCCATATCCATCTGTGATTCATTCACACATGTATTTCAATTAATTTTGCAGTGATTGTTTTTCAGAAATATTTATCACATGTATAAAACCTCAAATAACAAGTATGAGTTGTATGAAAATAAATTAAAATTCTAATCATCAAGAAACTATAAGTTTTAAATGTGCCATTGAATACTTTTTTTTTTTGTTATCATGGATTTTCTGTATTACACAAAATGTGGAATGTTCTCTAAGTGAAATTTGCAAAAGGTCACTGTATGTATTAAGTATAAAAAAAGTACTTATCAAAAACAGAATGGATTTGAAATATACTTGGTAATAATATTTTACTTGCTTAAAGCATAATTTTGTTGTGGTATTCTAGATTACATGGAAGTACACAGTTATGGTTTTGAAACTTACAGCTGCCAAGACATTGTGACATGTCAGGACTCAGCAGTATTATTTTGAATTGTATAAATAAGGCATACTACTGAAAAAATTTATTCTATTCAAACAGAATTGCAATACGTTGTTCTTTGCAACTGATATAATTGTTTTCAATACCTAATAAATACATTGTATTTTTGAGAATGGTGTTTCATATTTTCCTTTACAAAGAAGAACTACTGTAGTTATGCAGTGGAATGTAATATTTGCTGATAACTAGTTCAAATTGTGAAGAAAGGATGCAAAGTGATATTTTTAAATATCTCTGTGAAATATTGTCATACTTTAAGGCAAAAGTGAGAAACTTTGTGATTGATTAACATTTATGACTGTAACATTTTGATCAACTAAACTTCAAAATTTAAACAAAAGAGAGGAAATTATACCATAGATGCTTTCATTCGGAGACTTGTTGAAACTTGATTTCTAGACACGTGCAAAGTAAGCAATCCAACTCAAAGGTACTTCAGCTCCATTGATAACTTTTGCAAGGTGTAATTTTTAGCCTACTTGTACTGCAAGAGATTATCATGCTGTAAATAAACATAAGGTGTTTGTGATCTGCCTCTTTGAACTGGTTATACTGTGGTTTAAGAAGAATTTCAACAGGTAAATGTAACTACCATGGTGCATGAGTTAAACCCTAACCAATTTTGATCATAAAAAGGACAATGGTAATTTTCAACCCAGCTTAAAGATCTTCTCTTCTTGACTTTATTAAGGGCTCATTCCCATTGAAACAATCATTTTACGTAGTTCGATTCAACTCCCCGGAGATTCCTGCTGAATGCAATCAATGTAAAAGATTAACACACATCTTGTTTCCAGTGCACTCATATAATCACCAGCTCTTCTGAATTCTACTCAACACTAAGAAAAGATGTGTCTATCTGTTAATCTAATTGCATTCAGCAAGAGTCCCCGCAGAGTTGGATCGATCTACGTAGGAGAATAGTTTCATTGGGAATGAACCCAATTTCTCTTCTGTATGCCTGAACAGCAAAACTACACAAAAATAACATTTATAAGGACCATGTTCATTTGAGCTTCAATGATACAACTGACCACACAATCTCCCAATAGTGTATTAGTTTGTAGTTTAAAAGCATAAGCTAACATCCACTTTTGATGCTGCTGCAAAGAGCTGATAAATATTAGCAGTATCTGCTTTTGATTCCCCTGCAGAGGTCACTGACATCCATATCTTTAACTTTGGAGTCAAATAAGGTGACAAGCTATGCCCAGCTCTATACACAAATGATGGACTAGATAAATAGACAGTGTCCGTGTTAACTGTATACTGTATTTGGATGAACTGGTCACACAAACAAAGGCATCTAAAATCTTACAGGGGGCTTTATTTAATGTTGACATATTTGTCTGTAGCAAAATTTATTAGTAAGATAATGATAAAACCCAAATAATTGGTAACAAATACACAAAAAATCCCATCCATTTTAATTGTATCTCTTTACAATGTATATTGTATAACGCTACAATTATTTTTTCATTTAGAGAGCCTTCAAATGTAAAAACATTTCTGTACTCAATAAAATTCTTATTGTTATTATTTCAAGGAATTTTCAATAGGCATTTATCTAAAATATAATTATACTTAAAGACATGATCTTTAACAGTTAAGTTAACTACTCACTGAAGGTTCACAAAAAGCACCAAGATGGTGAAATAAGATGCTGTAAAGGTAGTTTAAAAAGTCCACGAAGAACGATAATGAGATGATTTATTCTCAGCTAAAAGGTTTTTATTTACCCCTGAATCTTTATATTGCACTATGGATCTGAATAAAGCGTGCTGATTCTGTAGGACTGGTGAAATTTATTTTCATCTATTTTTCTCCTGTATTTGTGCAGCTGATGGACCGTTCAGCCCAAAGCCATAGAAGAATAAAAACTGTCATATTTCAAGAAGGGGTCTAATGATTGTGCCAGACTGCACATCAAGACAAATGTTCCAAAAAGTTCACCTAACACAATGCCTCCTAATGCAATCAGGAAATAATTTGGGTTGAAAAGTTGGAGAGCTATGAATCCATACTTGATGTAAAACAGATTTTAATTAATCAACTAGTCTAATTCAATCACTTTGAATTGATTATCAAGACAATCATACAAACACACACATAGTTTGTCTAAAATAAATGAATATGTTCAAAAGACAATACATGCCCTATGGTGAGCTCATACATGTGAAATATGAAGTGGGTTGAAACAAAATCCATGAGCAAACAACTGAGGAAATAAAAGTTACTTTATAAGCCTCTTTTCAGGATCAGCGTCTAGTCTATATGGTGAGCTTGTGCTTGTGAAATATGATGTTGGTTGGGAAAAAAAAAACATAAGCAAACAACCTACCAGGATACAAAAGAAAGATTATGATGCAAGACTGGTTTATAAATAGACAATTAATTGAAAAAAAAGTCACTCCCATTGTTCAGTTATAAGATAAACAGACAAATTTCAGTAAACATCTAAACATTTTAAATTTTCAACATTTACATGTTGCTGCTTTCAAAAAATATATTGCTGCTTTCAAAAAAGAAAATCAATGACTTTCATAATAATAATCTGATCATGTTGCCTATAGAAAGAAACCTGCCTTTTACCACTCAGCAAATTTGAAGAAAAAAAATCCACAAATGTATACAGACACATATAGTGTCTGTCTATTAAAATGAAATAATGCAGTCAGTGCATTCCTGAAATCAATCTATATGGTAGAGTGTATGAGTACAAGGTGTGCATATTTTCACACTTATTACATTGCAAGTTAATGTACAGATACATTTTTTTCAGAAATGGTTATTTTTTCTTTTCTTATAGTTTTATTTATTTCTTGCTACAGAAATAAAATGGTTTTAAAATAACAGCTCGTTTTTAAAAGCTGAAGAGGTGTGTGTCCACAAGGATATGTAATGCAAATACAACTAACTAGCTTCCAAAAGGCAAGTCCTATAATGCTATCAACTTTATAAACTTATTGGGTTTTTGATCAATGCCAAAGTGTATTTGCTTAATCATTTAATAACTCAATCAATTCTGAATGTCATTTTGTATATAAATTAAATTGTTAAAACCTATCTTAATTGAAACTTAGAGAGACGAGCCAAGTAAGTTTTATTGCCTTTCATCTCTTCATTTCCCTTTCATATAGTTTGTAGTTATATGCTTCAAAGCCTTCTTACGCAGTTTTCAAGGGATCAAATTATTGACCCTATTTGAATTTGAATTAATACAATAACTGAATTGAAAAGCATCAAACTGATTAAAGTCAAATTCAAAAAGAGCTTT